GTATATGCGTGCTGTAAATATTGTATTTTATAAGAGTATTTTAACATAATTTATTGTATTGTCAAAATATATATGTGTTATATGTTATGCTGTTAAATAGGCTTCTTACTGAAATGTTGTGTTTTTAATGGACTTACCAGAGGCGCTGTTTAACTAATTATTCTTTAAGATATTTTTTTATTTAAAATATCTTTTTATTGTGCAATGTACTTTAGATGTTATGCTTTTAGAACTTACAACTAAAGTATTATTTTGTTGTGAAGATCTTGGAATTACTTTAGATAATATATTACTTATCTTCTCTGTTGAATTTAATTTTAGACAAAATCGCGTGTTTACATTATTTTTTCACTTGTGTAAATTAAGATTTTTTTTTCTAATAAAACAGATATGTACCTCACAGTACTTTAATTGCAAAAATATACAATCATCTTGCCACAATATATATAAAAAATACTAGTTTGTATTATATTTTTTAACAGAAAATGGAGATAGAACAATATAACACTGTATTTTGTAAAATAAGTGTGTATTACATTGTTCTATCTCCAAAATATTTTAATATAATTTTTTTTAAACTGTGGTAACCTGTAATGGAAATTAATACAAATTGGTTTTGTTTGAGTTTTTTATGTTATTTGGTCTGCAGGTCCATTTAAAACTTTGAACTTGATTTTCTCATTTCGGAAAAACATGGAGAGGACAAAAAAATTCTAACCTCGCGAAATAGCAAATGACGTTCCATTGGAAGAATAGCTTTTAAGATTAGCTTTTCATCTGGGAATCGAAATATCGGTTGATGAACAGCATTCTCAAATTCTTTTAATTTCTTTAGATCTTTGGTGTTGCTCTCTGATTGTTCCAAATGTCCTGAGTTGGCCACAGTTGTTTAAATTTGTCGACTCAATTTTGTACCAGCAGCAAGGATGCTTGCTATTGTAAGACTGAATTCCACAGATAATATTTGCAAGCTTCATGTCACATGACAGAATCAATTTTTCAATTATTTCATTAATTTGCATTAGGTCCATAGTCAGTTTGACATTGGCAAGTGTTTCAGGGGTGTTTTCAGAAATTGCTACCAGTTAGCTGACATCTGTGCTTTTAAAATTTTCACTTGAAGCTAACTTATTTGACTTTTTTCCTAGGCTTTGTTGTTCTGTTTGGTGTTCAGAAATTAGACTCAAACTAGCTTTGAAAAAAAACCCTCCACCATCAAAGCACTGTTTCACAGTGTCCGAGCTCATCAAATCTTTTGAAAATCTTGTGATGTTTTCCTGCAGGTTTTTAAAATTGATACCATGAACAATGTCACGAACCTCATTAGAGTCTGGAAAATTTAAATTGGTAGCAATAAAAAAATCTTTTCGACTAGATCCTGCTGATACAAATTTATGTTGAAAATCTGGCTCAAAAAGGCAAACTGGACTAATTTGGTTTAGAAAAGATGCAAGTTTTCTGATTTTATTGTTTGAAAGCCCAATAATCTGCTGAATATCAACCATATTTTTTGTTGTCAAAGGGCCTTGAAAGAGTGAATGAGCTGCAGATGTTCCTTAAGAAAGAAAACTAAATCAGTTACTTCACATATAAATTGTATTGCTTAGAATGTGCAAAATAATAAAATAAATAACCTTTTCTTATCGAAAGAGGTTTGCCATGAGCTTGACCAAGACGAATTGTTCCGCCCGGAGACGTTTCTTTCAATGCAATAACAGATGAAGCAACTCGTTCTGCGCCCACAAAATCTTCCTTTGTAAATTGATATAAGTTTGGACGGCGAGTTTTATCACTGCAATTGTGAGAAATTCCACGAGCAATAATAGACAAGCATTTTGTGCCTCGTTTTTCAACTGACTTTCTTTCTTCTTGCAAAGATTTTGATGCAAGGCCCTTTTTAAATGGATGCTTTTCTTTGCCTTTCACCTTCGCAATTTGCCAAATAGTGCAATCACAACATGTGGTAAGTTTATTTAGTTTGTAAGTGTAATATTTTTTAGTGTGATATAAAGAAAGAAAGTTGATACTTGTTGATACTTGTAACTTTTATTAACGTTTATATATTAAATATATTAAAGTTAATTATATACTGTTTAACTGTTTATAGTTTCTCGTATCTTGACAATCATAAGTTTAGGGTTACATCATTATATTTCATTTATCGACAAATTCTTTGTGCTGAATTTGTCTCCATTGAAATGGTTTTGCAATCAATTATGATCGTCTGAAGAGAGCGTGACAAATATTGGTCCGAAGGGAATTGCTTTTGTAGCAATTACTAATAATTATTTAAAGAGAATATTCTAAATTACTGTCCAAATGGAACTGGTTGTGTCGCAATCGTTAGAGTATGGTAAAAAAACAATATATTTTTGCTAACAAATATTTGTAAAGTATATAAAAAAAACAAAAAAACAAAAAAAACAAAGCTAAATATCTCCGTTGGATTTTAATCCAGAATTTTAAAATGTATTGTTTTGGAGTCTCCGATATATATATAGAATCAACCCTCAAAAGGGCAATTTTAGGATATTTAGTCGGCAAAAAAGTCAAAATTTTCAAACCGTGATTATTTTGTTTAGCATAACTATTTGATAAACTTTACATTTTAATTAAAATTACCTAGAAAGTAACTCTCAAAAAATCATTTAAAAAGAAATGTTCTATTTTAATATTTTGCTTAATCTATTGATGTGAAAACTTTAAATTTTTATTAAAATCAAGGAGGTATAGTGCATATTTTTTAACATATAAATAACTTGAATTGTTATTCAAGGACATTTGAGAAAAGAGGTACAATATCAAATTAAAACAACAAAATTTTTGGAAAACAAGTTTAAAATGTAATAAGTAAATTAGATATTTTTTAATAAATCTAATTTATTTATATATCGTTAAAAAAAATTATTGTTTATATATACTCTAGTTGTAAATAGTTGTGAAGACATACAGTTAGGTGCAAATAGACATACAGTTGCCTTTATTATATTTTCCACTTTCGATGATTTAGCTTTAATTGGAGATCTGTAAATTCTCCATCTGGCAGCTAGAATTCTAAAATTATTTTGAATTGTTCTACGACATCTAGATAAGCAATAGTTATAAGTTCTTTGTTGGACTGTAGGATACAGATAAAAATATCTGGGTATGGTTTCATTAATCATGGCTTAAACGCAAATATATTTTCTCCAACAGGGACTGGTGGATATTTAGGATCAAATTTAGATACTTCTGGTAAATTAAAATCACTCTTATTAAATGCTCTACCAAATGTGCTTGCATTTAAAATATAAGCACCATTATTCCTTCCATAACCCCCTATGTCAACCATTGTAAAATAATATTTAGCATCACAGATGGCTAATAAAATCATGCAGTAAAATCCTTTATAATTGTAAAATAAAGAACCAGATTTTGCAGGAGCCTCAATGCGTACGCGCTTTCCATCAATAGCTCCTATACATTGGGGAAAGCTTCAATTCTGATTAAATTCTTTAATAATATTTTGCCACTTGTATGTCTTTAAAGGCTCTTAGAAAGGTTTTTTTAGAACTTCTCATATAGCACAACAGGTTTCTTCAATTATATTACATACTGTAGCTCTGCCAACATAAAAATAAAACGGTGTAATTATTAATCGCTGCAATGGGCATACAGACTCTTTTCTGGGACAATAATTTTTTGTTATTGAAGGTCCGATTAATGACAAAAGATGTTCAAATTTGTCATGAGACATTCTTAACTATCGAAAAAAAATTCTCAATCGAATAGTATCATTTCTTGCACTAACAAACTAAATGAACCTTGCAGTACGCGTTTTTTAAATAGTTCTCTGACCCAAAACTGATGTTTCCTTTTTATTGAGTTTTTTTTGGCGTTTTAAAATTAAAGGTATAACGAAAAGTCGATAACTTATAATAACACTTTTTTTAATAACCGCCATGTTTTATTTTTTTTTAAGTTTGACTTAATTAAATGCAATGGAAACATCACATTGCACAGCAAACTAACGCAAAACAAATTAAACGATAGTTGCACAATTGCTGCCCAACATTTCTACAACTATTAGAAACCAAGCTTAGGCAAAAAACTTTTGAACCTGTTAAGGGCAACATCTTTTATCCCATATTTTTTCATTTTTCCAATTAGGTTTAGGTCTCTTTAGTGCTGTAAAGTATATAACTAAAAAAAACTAGCCCTGTGCTATTAGTATTGGATATAAAGGGGTCTTGAGAGGTTATTGGGGGTAGATAATCCTCCAAATGTTTAATGTTACGGAATTTTTGATAAAATTATATAATCCGCAAGAAATAAAAAAAATCCAACATACCTACTTCAATACAATAGTATAAAATTAAAGCTAATTTGTTGTTGAGCGTCATAGACAGTTATGGAAAATCTCTTTAAGCCTTTAATATTCAATGATTTCTGTTGTTAGACTGTCAAATGTTGTTCAGATTGTTACAAGAACTTTGGTCATCATATGATTGCTAATAAAATCAAGAACTTTTTTGTCACCAGAATAATAATAGCTTAACAGTTTTTTTTTATAGTATTACATTGCGTATTTTATAGTACTTAAATGTCATCATTTTTTATGATTTTTTTCACGTTCCTTTATTTGATTAGCGCACAAGTGGTTATTCAAAGAGAAAATCACAATTTGAACAACATTATGTTCATACTTTTAAGACTTTGTCACCGATTGGCTACGTAATAATCAACAATGGATATTTCTAACTTAAACGTCAGTTTTAATTTATATCAATTATATTTAACTTAATTTACGTCAATAAACATTATTATTCAATTCCGAAAGCTGTTGGTTAAACTTTACGTATTTTTATTTCTAAATGCACAACTTTTTCTGTTTATTTTTTCTTATTCAAACACAAAAAAAGCGAGTTTAAACTTTGTTTGAATGTGACTGTATGCAAGAGCTTGTGTATATATTTTTTGAATAAACTTTTATTTATTTGCAACTATTAATTATTTAAATCACATTTATAAATCTTTTTTTAAAGAAAATTAGCAAAACAACTATTATAATGAAAATTATATGTGTTGGATACTCTAAAACTGGAACTAAGTCAATGGCAAAAGCACTAACGGAATTAGGTTTTATCGTTCACGACTTCGAAGAACATTATAATATCAACTTAGAAAACTACATAACACTTTTAAAAGACAAAGAACATAAAGGTTTGTTAAAAGAAATGTATGAAACAGTAGATGCGGTTATTGCATTCCCTTCTTATATTATTTGGCAAAAAATATTCAAAGCTTTTCCTGATTCGAAAGTTATACTGACAACAAGAGAAAATCACGAGGTTTGGTTCAATTCATTTGAAAAGACGCATAATTTAATGGAAAAATCAAGAAGTAAAAAATTCTTTCGGTCGTTACTGAGTTCCACATGGTCGAATATATATTATATGGAAGAACTAGCTTTTAACAAAATTTTCCCTCAAAACATGTCAACCGCTCTTAATAAAGAGAACTGGATTAACAGCATTCGAGTTCATGAAGCGACTGTCAAACATCTTGTTCCAAAAGACCAATTGTTGGTTTACAAAGTCGGAGAAGGCTGGGAAAGATTGTGTCAATTTTTGAACAAAAGTATTCCCGTCACCCATTTTCCAAAAGAAAATATTACAGAAGGAAATAATGTGCCATTTGTTACAAAATCCAAAACATTTAAGGTGTTTAAAAAGGCGGATAACGAGTTTAGGAGGTCATGTTTGTTGTTTTATGTTATTATGACCTTGTGCTGCGGTATTGGATTTTTATTTGTAATGAAAATTAAAAATTAGTAAAATACAAATTCCATTGTGTAACAATTATTTTAGTCTTGATTTCATTGTTTCTTAGTTTTATTGAACTTAATTCAAGCTTAAAATAAAAGTTTGTATCTCAAAATATATTATTCAAATATAATTTTCCATTAAAAAGCAATATTACATAAAATTTTTAAATGAAATAATAACTAGATTCAGGGCTCAAATTAAATCGTGATCACGAATTGTGATTGCTTATTGCACATTCGCAATTATTATTTTTTACATATATGTTTTTGCGATTTGTTTGCTGTTGTTGTTTTTGTTGTTGTTGTTGTTTTTTATTAATAATGTTATTTTTTTTTTCTAGTTTTTTTTGTGTGACCCATACAAAAAACCATATCCATAAAGTGCGTCACACTAAAAGTAACTTTTAAATAGAATGAGATCATTTGCTCTTTTAAAGAGAGAATTTCATTCATAACACTTTAAAACTTAAACCTCTTAAATACTTAAGGGAGCGAATAGTTTTTTACTTTTATTTTTAAGTTAAATTTAGTGTGAGGTATTTATGTATAAACTACTTCACACTAAGTTTACCAGTAATGTAAATCAAAACAAATTAATGTGCTTAGTATGCTTTAAAATATTTACTTGCAAACAGAGGCGATTTAAGGATGAGGAGAAGGGGAGGAAGAGGCTGGTTGCTGAGTGTTGGGTGAAGGATTCACTCCCCCTTTCTCCCCACCTCATTTTATTTGTAGAATTGCCTCTGCTTGCAAAAGTTAGCCATTAAAATGTTTATATTTATATATTAATGTTGCCAACAAATTTTATTATTATTATTATTATTATTATTATTATAATTATTAATGTTGTTGTTATTTTAGGTGCCCCAAGAAGTCTTAACGGTCTTATCACAGAGCATTGCGGAAGAGCACATAAAAACGTGTAGAACAAATAAAAAACTTTGTAAGTAAAAAAAAAATTTAAAAGTAGTTTTGAATTAAATATGAAAAACACGACTGTTTTTTAAATATTTTAGTTTAGTTTACAGCAATATCAAAAAATGCGCAAGAAAATAGATTGAACTAGTGAATTTTAATTTTCTAAAATGCTCTTGTTCAAATAATCTTGAATTTGAAGCTTAAAATTTAAAATTTTTTTTAAAACGTTTGAAAGAATTTGTAAAGAGAATTTGAGTTTTTAACGTTTCTCAAAGTTTTTTAACGTTTTTTCTAAAAAAGTTTTTAACGTTCGCTTGCAATAATTATAAATTAAATTTCATAAAAACTGCAGTGACGTCTGTAATACTATCAGAGGTCACTACATTGATGCACTTATTTTATGAAACTTTGAAAATAAAACTAATAATAAATATAAACTATAAATAAACAACAATAATAGTTCGAAAATATGTTGGAACCTATGCTGGAAAAAGTTTTTAGCATAGGTTATACATTAGGCTTTAACCATCAGCGATCTATCTCGTGAATAAAAAGATTTTAGAATAAGATAGGCTTGACATTTATGTAATAAGATTGATATGTTAATTAAATTTAAGATTTCTATCAATGGTAGCTCCAAGATCTCTTATTCAGTTAACATGGGCAAGTTTATGTTTTGACTCTGGTTAGCAATTGTACAGACAAAGGATTCTTCAGTTGCTATTTGGAGTTGCCAAGTACAACTCCATTCGTACAAACGATTAACGGCTGTGTAAAGATCTGAGTGCCACGTACATCATAGACTGAATATAATTTAATATCGTCAGAAAAAAATGTTTATGTTTGAAATCAAGCTCTTTATTCATGTGGCTCACATCATTGATAAACAATAAGAATAGAGTAGGTTCTAGAACGCTTTCCTGTGAAACACAGCTTTTTTGTGGTATCAAAGTTGACAAAATTAAGGATCAAAACGCATTAATTTAATTACATGAATTAATTAAACCACAACACCACAAATTAAAAGACTAGAATGTTTAAAAAAAATTCTAAATGTTTTTAAAAACATTCTGAATGTATTTATTTTTTATTTTTTTTTAATAAAAACATTCTGAATATTTTTATTTTTATTTTTTAACATGTGGAAAGTGTTACATTGACTATCTTATAGACTCGCAACGCAGTGCTGCTACATCGACTGACGAATAGCTTGACTCATAATGGAGTGTTGCTACATCGACTGAGGGTTTCGGTTTGAGCAGACAGTTTATCAAATAATAAAAAAGAAAAAAATAAAGTTTTTTTTCGGTCTTTAAAATAAAATAAAACTTAAAGCTGACATTTATGGTATGAACTTAAAGACAACCAAGCATGAGTATATATATATATATATATATATATATATATATATATATATATATATATATATATATATATATATATATATATATATATATATATATATATATATATATATATATATATATATATATATATATATATATATATATATATATATATATATATATATATATATAATTTTTATTTATATATAATTTTATTATATATAAGTAAAACTATATATTTATATAAATTTATTTATATATAATTTTATATAAAATTTATATAAAGTTATATATTATGAACTATACCAATAATTGGTATAATTCATTGTAATTATTACACATTCAAAATATAATGTACAAAAAAGATTTTTCAAAGTACGACCCTATATTAATGTTGTTATTGATGTGCGTTTATTGAGACATTTAAATAGAGCCGTCAAAGTTCAATAAAGTATTTTTAACATTGAAAAAACAAATAAGCTAAAATGGAAACACAATTGAAGACTCCACGGGAAAAAACGGCAGGGTCACATTTTTTCATTTTGAAAAAATTAATTATTAAACTTTAAATTCTATGTAACCTTTTAATTCTTAGGAAAAAAATGTAAACTTGTAAGGTATTTTGCAAAAGTGACCTTATTTTTTTTGTAAAAAAGGTTACTTTTGCAAAAAAGGACTTGGAGCTTTCAATCTTTCAAGTTTTGATAATACAGAGAAGTGTTTGGTTTATGTCTTTTAGTAAATTTCGATTGTTTAAAAACTTGTTTTTTTGGGAAAGTAACTTATTATTTATTTTTTATTTAGGTGCCCCAAGAAGTCCTAACGGTCTTGTCACAGAACACCGAGAAAGTGCGTTTAACCAGAAAGTTCACGCCTCCTTTTTTTCCGTGACAAAGCAAGCACTCAAACCACTGCGCCACGGCCGCATAAACTATTTTATATTAAAGAAGAGAGGCATAATTCTATCAAACTTTAAATATACCAAAAATCAATTACTTGATTCAAAATCAAATACAAAAGATGGCTCATTAGTTTATAAAGCTAGAATATCAAAAAAGTCAAAATTTTTAAAATGTGACCCGCTGTTTCATCCCGTGGAGTCTTCAATTATCTATGGTTTTTAGGTTTATGACGGAATATACCCTTGAACCAACAGCCATCAGCTAAACCATCTTTTTACTCATGAAAATCAGTCTCTTAATTTAATACATAAAACTAATTATTTGGCAGCATTCAAACTAACTTCTAAACTATCTTTTATTTATAAGCCTAAAGTATCTGTTTAAAACATCATTAACTTAAAATTTCAATAAATGCTTCAGCCTTTTTATTTGGCCTAATAAGACGTAACATTGTAACTTAAGGTATCTTTCTAATTAAATTTTTTTATTTAGATACATAAATATTGATTTAAAGATATATATATATATATATATATATATATATATATATATATATATATATATATATATATATATATATATATATATATATATATATATATATATATATATATATATATATATATATTGAACAGTAATCAATGCAAGCCAAATGAAGAAACTTAAAACAACTATAATTATTTTGTGAAACCCCATCAGATTTTTTGAAATCATTTTTTAAATTTCATCCAAAAAAATCAATTTTGATCTAAACGTTAAAATAATTAACATAATTTTATTTCAGAAACAATAAGCCTTATCACTGGCAAAGACAAAAAAACTCTTTTGTTGGTTTTGCTAGGCATTTAATAAAGCCTCAGATAAATTAAGGTTCTTTAGTGGATACATAAAAGCATTGCTCTCCATGCAGCCTGCACAGAGTCATATGTTTTAAAAATCAATTCCAATGATATTATAAGCATTTATACGCGCCGACATGATGAAGAGGTTAAGAGTATTGTTTAATTTTTGAAAAAATCATAGAAACTTTAAAAGTTTTTGGTACACGTGGATTTAGCTACAGAAATGCAGATTCTGGGTTCACATTGCGTGATGACAGTGTAAATTATAAGAATTTTTTGAATATTCTTTTGCTTGAGTCTGGGTTCATATTGCTTGATGACAGTGTAAATCATGAGAATATTTTGGATATTCTTTTGCTTGTTGGCAAATTTGATCCGTTATTGGAAACACATATTGAAGAGGTGGTTAGAAAAAGCGAATTCTGACATGGTTCAGTTGGCAACAGAAAAAGGTCGTGACTTGGTCATATTTATGTCAAAAATGATGTTCTATTGTGATTCGGTATGTTTAAGAAGCTGTACATAAACGTGTAATATCGATAGTCAATTGCACATTAACAACTGAAAAATGAATGTGCGATTTGGTTTGTGGCGTTTTCGAAAAAATAGGCATTTATAAAAGTAAATGTATTGGCAATGTCTTGACGGGTCAGATTCAAGTATGGTGTTATGTGCATGTCTTAAATTTAAAAGTGGGAGACGTTACTAAAATTTGTGGTTAAAGTTATTACCTTATTTTGTGTTTTAAACACATGAGCAGTATTTTTATTGGAATCCTACTTTCACTTCAATGTTTGGCATGAATTTAGCAAATTGAAATATATATTTTTAATCGGTGAAACCCGTTGGTGGGCGAAAGATAGAGCTCGTACTAAGATATTTGGAAATTTTTTCATAGAACACCTCCAATCAAGAAACACAAGTATTGATTATTTGTACATTGACATACTACAAATATTTCATGATAACTTTACATCAATCAAATTTAATAATAATGTCCATTACAGAGCAAAAGCTCTTTTAGAA